GCGGGGCCGGCGGGCAGTGAGCCCCGGGCCCGCCTCTCCGACAAGGTCTTCTGCTACAACCCCCTCACTGACACCTGGAGCCAGGTGCGGCCGCTGGCTCAGCCCCGCTCGCAGCTCAAGCTGCTTGCCCTGGACGGTTACCTCTATGCCGTGGGGGGCGAGTGCCTCTTCACTGTGGAGAGGTACGACCCGCGGGCCGACCGCTGGAGCCCTGTGGCACCCCTGCCCAAGGGTGCCTTCGCTGTGGCTCATGAGGCCACCACCTGCAACGGGGAGATCTATGTGTCGGGGGGCTCCCTCTTCTACCGCCTGCTCAAGTATGACCCCAAGCGTGACGAGTGGCAGGAGTGCCCTTACAACAGCAGCCGCCGGCGCTCTGCTGACATGGTGGCCTTCAAGAGCTTCATCTACCGCTTTGATGTGAGCAGTGGCCGTGGTGGGGAGCAGGGCCCAGGTGGCGGGACTGGCGGTGGTGTTGAAGTTTTCCGGTACAACACGGTGGCCAAGCGCTGGAGCCAGTGCGCCAGCCTGCGGCCCAGTGGTGGCCCCATCCAGCCCTTCCGCTGTGCCCCCTTGGGCAACACCATCTACTGCGTCAACCGGACCGGCACCCTCCGCTTCAGCCTAGCCCAGGACGGCGAGGTGGAAGCAGATGGTGGGCTCAAGGGCACCTTCGACGGGGAGCTTCTTAAAGCTCCCTTGGATGCCAAGGGTGTCCTCTTACCCTTCGTGCTCACCCTGCCCGAGAGGCTGGACAAAGCGGGAGACCAGAAGGGCTCCCTCCCGCTGTGAGGTGGCCAGCCTGGCTCTGGCTTCCCGAGTGGGGAGCTGGGTTGCAGCTGTGGGGGACCCACAAACTTCCTCCTACAGAGGCGACCCTCTCTGGCATGTCTGCAGAGAGAAGGGGCTCCCCCTTTCCTCCTCTCCGCTCCCAAGATGTTGAGCTGGACCCACTTGGTTGTAACTCAGTTGTAACTCTTCTCATGTTTGCTGTGCTTTGTGTGAAAAGCTGAGCACATGAAAGGAAAAGCTGCTATAAAGGATAATCTCTGGATTATGTTTGTGCCAATTCCTAATCTGAGAAAAACCTTTTTACACCTGGATTTCTAAAAAATTCCTGACAGCAGTGTCATAATGGGACGTTACTGTTAAGTGTTGGTCACGTGTTTACACGTAGTTGCAATCTGGGCTGGAGCCTTTTCTGCCATTTGTTTTCTTTCTTCTCTGCAATGATACCGAGGGATAAACACTGCTGGCAACGTAGCTTAGCTGCATTTGTTTTTATGTTAAACCAACAATTTCCTGTGTTAGAAAAGTATAGGAAGAATGTCTCCATCACAGCCTTTCATTTCTGGTGCAATAGATGGTTTAAAGAAGACATGGCACTGTGTGGTCCCAGGAATTTCAACCACAATGAATGATTTAACAGATACCAGACTTAAAGTTTTAAGCAACACAAATGTGTGCCACATGGTCGTATTGGGAATACAAAAAAAAAAAAAAAGGCAAGTTACTTTTTTAAAGTGTGGCATATCATAGCAGATACGAAATGTTATGTTCTTTATCTGAAAAAAAGCAATGGTTTCTGTATAAAAAGACATAATTTTATTACCTTTTTAATCAGAGATTTTAAATTATAACAAAAATGAACTGAAGCTGTTCAGACTGCAACCAATTGACATGACCATGTATGCCACTAGAGTTGGGGGAAATATTTTGTACTTCAGCTGCTCCTTAATTAACTGCAGGTCAAAGAAAATTAACCTAAACCAAATGTAAATTCTTTGAAACTGACTGCAGACAGCTTAAATGTTTCGCTGTATGTTCAGTATCCTGTGGCAAGAGGCTTTTCCAACTTAGTGCAAGACCATCAAAGGAGGATGTGGAAAATAGGAATGTGCTACACATGTTGATTATATTGTGCACTAGCATGATGTGACTTCCCTATCTTTTGACTGAGAGACTGCTTTATTTATTTCGATCTAACGATCGCTGTAATCAATAAGTCCTTGTTAATTGCAGTACATGCTGATGGCATACGTTGTCATTGGGATTCTGAACCACCCGAGAGCGCTGTTTGTGGAGCAGCATCCTAACAAGATGAAACCATACAAAGCTTCTTCCTGCCTGTGGAAAGTTGGAGCATACTTTTTGTCATGTTACTCAGAACTGGAGAAGTGTAAACTGTCTACGCGGACAGACTATACTGAAACGGGCACATACATTTATTTTATACATTTTATATTAAAAAATCAATAGGCAAGGCAAATGTTTTAGCTTTACAGTAAATCACTGAGAAACCTTTTCTGAAAAACAGAACCAGTGTTTTTGCTATTGGTAATTCAGCCTGGAACTGGCATGGACTGTGGAAGGGAATTGTTTATACTCAAAGCTCTAGTATAGATTCATATTTTAGAAAGACATAGGGACCTTACATCAAAGAAAGCAGATCTTTTTATGTTTTATTAAGATGTTTCTGTTAAACAGGACATTAGCATTCTTATACGTTATTGGTAGTTCCAAAGGAAGGCAGCAGGCTCTGTCCTAAGAGACACCATCTTCACAAAAGAGAATAGTGAAGTTTATAGATCTTTCTTTCCTTCACTTTCGTGTTTTTTTTTTAACCTTTTCTCCATCTGTCTTGCACAGGGTTTTAACACAGCTGATCTGATTAGCCATCCTATAGAAAACAGTGGTTCAGTCCTAAAAGTTCTTAGCCAAGCGAGCCTATTCCCTAGTGAGCTAATTAAAGCATCACCCAGGTAGGAGCTGTAGGCTTGCAGAATGTGACACCTATCTTAGCCTCAGTACAGGTTGGTGCAGTGGAATTCAATACCACAGATGGCATATTCTTTAGCGATTCACAAAGAAATTGATTTTTTTCACTGAATGATGGACTTAGTTCTCAGACAAGAATCCTTGGAAACGTTGACTCTAAATTAAATTACAGCATTGTAGCTTGGACAGGAGAGAAGAATGATGTGTTTGCCTTCAGCATCATTTTTATGTTAACTGTAGAAAGTATGTCAAGCTGTGTAGTGAAACACTTAGGTGCATACTTAAAATAAAGACCTAAGTGCTAGGCCAGGTTTTGAATTAGTAGAGTCACCAGGAACACACAAGGAAATGTCTGTTTTATCTTACAATACAGTACGATTTCATAGTTCAAAATATTACGTAGTATAGCTCTTATACTACAGCATAGTGAGGACTCAAGCCA